TGAAAAAAGATTCTGAATTGGTGATGGAATCTCTCAACTGCAATGGATATGTGTTGGAATATAGTGATGAATTGTTGCAAAAAAAGGATGGAACAATGTTATTTTGGTGCTTATATGGGAAAACATCAAGATTGAGAAATGATGTAAAGGCGACCATATAATGACACTCATTATGGATAGTGTATCATTTAATATTGAGTTGCAAGAAGAACTTTCACAGACATTAAGGTTTTGTTAAAAGACCACTTGTGAGTCCAAAACACATGTTTCGAGGACGTAAACAATAAAAATCGTTTAGTTAATTTAAAGGAACAAATGGGTTTGTAGGATTTTCTGCATATTTTGTCAATTGACTTTATTCAGCAAACTCTTTTAATGTTTACAACCAAAACATTCATGCCCTTCACTTCGTTCAGAACATATCAATCTCGAACACCTCCTTCCAATAACCCCCTCTCAACGTTATGGATGAATTAAAGACATTACACAGATACCTAATCTTTGATGTATTGTCGTGCTTTATTAATAAAGGGAGAAGAAATTATAGTGACACTTGACATCAGTTTGACAAATCGTCATTTCCAACCTGTCGCAACTCTCAAAAAATGAGCAAACGTAAACAGTATCATGTTGATCATTCGAATGATTGCCACTCAAAGCTCGAAATCAATGAACAGGAGAATGGTGCTTCCGAAGTGAAGAAAATAAAATTAATCCATCCAAATCAGAATGCAAGAATGATCATGATAGATTTTTCCAACTCTTTTCTCATCATACTGAAAGTGTTGATGAAATTCGGGGATTGGAATTATCATTGAAAAGAAATTTTTATTGCAACAGGAAGGAAAGAAAAGTGGTTGTTGAACAGAGAATTGAAATATGAACATTTCTTTCCAGTCGAATTCATGAATGACAAGGAATTTATATTAAATCACATCAAAAGTATGGTTATGGATTTGGATTCATGGCATCCAAGCTGAGACAAGATCGAAATTTTGTATTACAAGCTGCTCAATTGGAAGGAGGGGTGTTAAATTACAAAGAAGATTCTCTCAATGATAAAGAAGTGGTGTTGGAAGCTTTAAAAACGAAAAAGGGTTTTCACTAGAATCTGCTTCACCAGAACTTCTAAAAGACAACAATTTTGTGATGGAAGCCATTCGATTGAATGAAAAAAGTGTGGTATGCATCTGAAAAACTTTGGAAAGACAGAGAATTGGTATTTGAAGCAATCAAACAAAATAAGAAAGCACTTCAATGGGTATCACATACGTTACGTGATGACAAAGAGTTCGTGTTAAAAGCTCTTCAATTACTATATCCAGAATTTGAGAATTTCGTCTCTATTAGTGACGCCAACAAAGAAATCATGTTGAAAGTTGTCAAAGATTTTGGATTTTTGTTGAAATTTGCATCAGAAGAACTCAAGAATGATCGAGATGTTGTTTGTACTGCTTTAAAAGTGATTATACATCTCTTGAATTTGCCTCTCTTGATCTGCAAAATGACATTGAAATTGCTCTTGAGGAAACTAAACGAAATGGTTATGCATTGAAATATGTTTCTCCACAATTGAAGAAAACTAAAGATGTTGTATTGACTGCTGTGAATCAAAATGGATATGCACTTGCATATGCATCAGATGAGACAAAAAGGATAGAGAAGTAGTATTGGCAGCTGTAAGAAAAGAAGGACGTGCTCTTCAATATGCTGATAAAAAGCTTCAAAAGATCAAGAAATTATATTTGAAGCAATCAAGCAAGACCAATCTGTTTTTCCGTACATTTCGCACCATTTATTTTATAAAGACTGTTCTTATTGGGAATACTTGAATTGTGAACGCAAGCACAAAGAACTCATATTGAAACTAGCCAAGCTTGGAGTTGAGCGTTTGTTCAGATATATACCAAACAAATTTACCGAAGACAGAGAATTGGTGAAAAAGTGGCCAATATCAATGGCCTTTCTGTTGTTGGATTATGCCATTACTCACCATTACGCAATGACAAGGAAATCATATTAGAAGCTGTGAAGAATAATGGAGTGGCGTTGAAGTTTGTGAGTGAAGAATTGCAAAAGATCCTGAATTGGTGATGGAAGCTCTTAAACGCAATGGATTTGCGTTGGATTTTAGTGATGAGTTATATCAAGAAAGAATGCGCCATTTTTATCATGATGCTTGTTTGGGAAAACAACAACATTCACCACAAAATTGCATGTCAGAAAGCAAAAACACTGTGACTTTTTGTTTTTGGAGCGGAGATTTAGGGAAGAATGACATAATGAACTTGGAATTTATTGGCGGCAGATGGTACAGCTTTTGTTCAACGTTTTTTCTTGGTTGGTCTGTAGTTTGATGTTCTTCTTTATATTTAACTAAAGCTTGCTGTCCTATATAATAACGTTGATTGCGAATCGTATCACTGGATCACCATGGTGTTCATTTGATTAACGGATCGGATTATCGTATTGATCAGAACTTCCACACAGATCCCTCAAAATAATAAATATAGTATTAATTTGATTGTTCAATTATTGCTTGTTCTTGAAATTGCAATGTCCTGACTTTACGGCCCAATACATCGAAATTTCGAATGTCGTGATGACTGCATCAAACCCACCGAAATATCAAAATGAAAACACCATTGGAACATCGCGCGTAGATGAACTGCCGGCTTTTTATGCCCACTGATTGGAATCACAAAATCATCACTGAACGGAATTATTTTGGTGATTGTGTGGCTTTTCGTGGGATGAAAGACATTTACTATTTATTGCTTGTTGTTTTTTCTCTTCTTGTCTTTGTTCAGAGAGGTATCAATTTCTTTTTTAATTTTGAATGAAGCATAAACCTCGAGTGTTCAACGTTGTATTCCAATGGATTGGAATGGTAGTATCAAAGACAAACCTCTTCAACAATTAGACTTATCTCCCCCAGCTTTGACTGATTGGCTAAATGAAATATATTCTCTCGGCCCGCTGCCTATGTTGGCAGTTGAAGTTACAAAAAACGCCACTTGGAACAGTTCAACAACTGTACCTCAAGAAGGCTAGAGGATATATAATTAAACCCAAAACTGCAAAATTTTGCAACTGCTTGGGAAACATTTTAGCAGTCAGCTTGGCGAACTCAACTCCAACAA